CCTTCTCTCTCTCTCTCTCTCTCTCTCTCCCTCTCTTTCCTTTCCTTTTTTCTCTTCAACATTATTTCTTTTGCTTCAAAAATTTGAAAATTCCTGAAATTTGAGAAATTTTATCGAGATAATCCATTTAGCAAAAGTATTATCATGTTTTAGTGTATGATTGCAAATGAAAATATTACATACATTGTTTATCTTTAAAAAAAACACTCTCATTACTAGGCATTATCAGTTGTTCAGTATATTTATTAATCGTTGAATAAATTATTGATAAATTCGGATTTAAAATCTTTGAAATCATATTGATGCTGGATAGGAATGATTATATTTAATGATTATGATATGAATCTTTCAAAGAAAATATCTGTACTATTCTGTGATTCATACAATTAATTTATCATTTATTTATTTATTTATTTATTTACCTATTTATTTATTTATTTGCCTATTTATTTATTTATTTATCTATTAATTAATTAATCAATTAATCGATTAATTCGTTTATTTGCCTATTTATTTATTTCCAATTTGTTGATTATTTCTCCGAAAAAGATTGCATTTGGAAAAATTTTGCAGAAAAACGAAACAATAGCAGCAAAAGCAGAATCATCAATATCTATGAATTTGGTTGAAAAAGTAAATCATCCACCGGATGTTTTTGAAATGTTCACATTAACGGGATATCCGGATACGGAATATGCTCAACAGCGAAATTTATTCAAAATGACGACAAAAAATCAAAATATGCCAAGAAGAGCACGAAATAACGATACTGTTTTATCAGGAATATGAAAAGAACAACAAGAATCAAAAAGAAAAAATCATTAATAACATGAAATGTTAATCTTTAAAAGTTAAGTATTAAAATACTTTAAAATGGTTAAAGTTTAAAAGAGGCAATCTTATTTTCATTGGAAAATTTAATATTATAAAATAAATCAAAATTAGGAGTATTAATTGAAATTGAATTTCAGTCAATAAAATTTTGATCAGAATATATTGAACTGTGTGATTCAATTAATTTCAAAATTTCCGTACAACGGACAACAATTAGCTAATATGATTGTAATTATTTCCAATGATAATTGATATATTAATTATGTGATTAAATGATTGTAGCATTTGTTAAATTGCAAAATTAATCGTTATCATTGCATATTTAGCTTTGGTTATAGTTCATAATAGACGGGTATTATTACTTGCATGAACACTCTCTCATATGCATATATGATAGATAACTTTATCACTACTCGGTGATACATTTATAAATCTCTTTAAAATGATCATTATTCATTTCCATATAGCAGGTGCAATGCTTAGCCATTTGATATTTATCAGTTTAGTGCATCATTTCAACCACTTATTCTGCTATTTGCTAATAGATTGCTTTTACAATTGTATGAAATTTCTCTTTGTAAGTTAATTACTTAAATTAGCTAAACGTATACTTATATATATATATATATATATATATATATATATATATATATATATATATATATATATATATATATATACTATAT